AAAAGCTTCTTAAATTTCTAGCGCAGAATTCCTTACAATTTGGTGCCTGGGGCGATTGCCCTCTCCCTAAATATGCCTCTGTCTCTACCTGTTTAGTAGATAATAATAGATAATAGTAATAAGTAGAGCAACTAGCAAAGACCTTAAACGTGTTAAATTTATGTGAAATAGAACTTTAAATCACGAAATTAAGTATACAGGTATACTTCTGATGAAACTTTGTTTGGTGCACTTGAAAAAAAAGTTCTGAAATCTATTTATGTAACAAGTCCCCGACATCAACATAGAAACAATTAAGTGACTCATCTACACTTGATAAGAACCAAAACGTTAATCAACCTCATTGTCCACAGCAGTATATCTGTATGAGGCAATCGTTACACATGTTACCATAGTAGTTTGATGCTGTTGAATAATATTCGGACATTGTTCACTCGAAAACAAAATATAATTATAACAACTTATATAGTTTACTTTATATTAAAATAGTACATATTATTTAGATTCATATAAGTTGATTATTAACATAACACCTATTAACGTTTGTATAGCATTAACAAATTTTGATATAATTTCTTCTCAATTTTTGTTATGAATTCTAATTATTGTCATAGTAAATGTTTTTGAGTTAAGGCTCTCAGAAGGTTTTTAAATCATTAGTCATTGACTTTAAATATCAGCCCATTGACACTGTAATGTGGGTGAATATAACTACTAAATTTCTATGTGTGTAGGGAAAGGAGGGGTGATAATTTATGTACTGAATTAACAGAATCTTTTCAAAATTCCGACCCGCCGTTTTATCTTCGCGCGCTGTTTTTTTTTTTTGCCCCTAGGCTTGGATTCGCTTGCGTTTAAATCACTGACTCTGGAATCGTCGCTTGAAAAAACATGAACGGTCATTGCTGTGGATGGATGCGTTAAAAACGTGCTTGTCGAGAATATATTTTTGCTATTCGAGCCTCGAGGTGTTGCCGCACGCGGGTTATGCGGCTTGCGCGGGTAAAACAAAGTTCAAAACGAAATTTATTATGAATCGGAAAGGGTTTAAATGCTTGATAATTAACGGTAATCAATAATAGGTGTTGGGCGTAGGTTTTCCCTCACAGACAGGTAGGTGATAGCGAAAACGAATCCCACTCCGGCGGGTCGACGGCGACGTGACCGCTGTTACACGGCTGTCCGAAGTTTTTTTGTTTTTTTTTCATGTAATATTTTTTTAAAATTTCAAACAAAAAGTTTGTAAATTAAACTTCAACAAATTTGGAGTAGGTATTCGTCATTGAATGTTATTTGTATAAAAAAGCTTGAATTAAAAGAAACTAGTAAAAATAACGAAATAAAAGTAGTTAGGTAGTGTTAGTGTTTTGTATTACGATTATAAATAATAAGTATTGAAATTTAAAATATAATATTATGATTAATCTTATAAATTAGCAATATCAAAATTGAATATGAGTGGCTATAAAAAGTATTTAATCGGTGCTCAGAAAAGAAAAAAAAGAAGGATGATCTTTTATATAGTGACATTTGCAATTTACATCTAAGTGCAATAAAATAACTGGATTTTTTTCTTGACGAAAGTGGTGATAAACCAATTACAAATGTTATAATTACAGATTAAATACTATTTCAAATCCAAATGAAAATATGAATAAACAATGAAACTAATAACAATTGTAGTACTTTTGAATATTGCCTAGTATAACGAACAGATTCATACAATTTATAATTTGTTATATATTATATGTGTTCATTGTTCAAACTCTTACACTTTATAAAACATTATTTAAATACAAAATACCTATACAATTAACATTTTTAATGATTATTTTAGGAATTATAGGATGTACTTTTGATGATATACCATTGTTTTAAATAATCCTTATAATATGTAACAGAAGAAGATAATGCTATTAGTATTGCGTGTAAGTCATATAAATATATAAAATAATAAATAAATAATTACCATAATATAATAAATTTTTTTTAACTATAATGTCAAAAATATTTCCATAAAATTAATTTGCATATTGATTTAAAAGAAACTGTAAAGACTTATCACTTAAACAATACCTACTCATTATAAGTAACAACCTATTAAATACAAATTAATATAGGTACCTATGGTTCAAATTTAGAATTATTTATTTATTTTTAGGCTTGTTACCAACTAAACAAAAACAAAATAATATTGGTTTTGGAAATACTAATAATTTTACTTGTAAGTATCAAAATTAATTTTTATTCAAAATGTTTAGTGATCCATGTTTTATTTTCAATATTTGTTACCTATTTTTAAAGCTATTAAGGATACTACTAATATCGATACAATATATTATGAAGTTCATGCAGATATTGATAGCAACAGCTTTGATGAGTTAACCGTAAAAGATCCATATTTTGGCCAACTAAAATAAATTATGATTTTGTGGATTCCTGAATTAAAAAAAAAAAAACCAGCATTATTTTTATGTTCACAAAATTAAATGTTGTTTTACCACGAGGTACTAAATATTGATGAAGAAGTAGAAGTTAATAAGAGTCTTGATAATTTTATTTTATCGTACAAAAAAATGTTGGCATACTATAAGAATTAAGAAATTAAATCATACAATTCAAAAAATATTAATTATTGAGTAAACTTTCACTAAAATGATACAAAAGATTATATTCTATAGATAATATTTAGAAGAGCTTCAATGAAAAAAAAAAATATTACTCTCTATTCCTAATTAGTGTACTGCAATTAAAATATATCTAACGTATGTTTAGAAAAAACAAAATGCAAATTATTCGACTGAAAGGGATTTCTCTAAACTAGCTCATATAAAAAACAATAGTATAAAACAAGCAGTTCTTTTAAAAAAATTTAAATAATTTTATGGTTTTGTGTTCAGAGAGTGATGCTTTTAAGATATAAATACCAATTTTATAATTAAAGAGTTTGCTTTTTAAAAAGCAAGAAAAACGTATTTACATATATAACATCTATATTTTTGTATTTAAAAAATTATAAAAAAAATATAACTTTTTTTATCTCTGAAAAATATTTACTATGATTTATAAATCCCAATATTTTGATTATGATGATGGGTCCCTAAAATTTATTGCCCCAGGCCTAAAATTATCTTAATTTGGGCTTGACAGTGATCAGTGGTCAGTGGACAGTGACCCACTCCGCACTCAACACCTACTGTACAGGCATAAAGTACTGCAATATTCACTTTTTACCTTTTTTTTTTTTTTTTTGAAATTTTAATAAAATTTTTCGGGATTTTTCAAAAGCTTTAAAATTTAATAAATTATCACATATAATAAAAATGAGTTGCTCAAGTAATTTTTTTCTTTACAAACAACTTTTATACTTTAAATGAGTTAAAATTTTGACTTAATTTATTAAAATCATGAAAATTTTTTTGCTGTTAAGGAAGGTACATTGTAGTATCTTTAAAAAAAATTATTTATGTATTTTAAAATATTTTAATCTCTAATATAGTTTATAGCAATAGGGTTTTAAAATTTGTTGTGTATCTTATTGTTGAGGTTGTATTCTTTTTATTTACTATTACTATTGATTATGGTCTTTCACTACACCTACACGCAACAAAAAATACCAGAATATTATTTTCAAGTTTTCAAAAAAATATATTTATGCAAGCTGAACCAACATAATATGCTGTTTGTTCATTGTTGTGTCGACGTAAACATCCTGTACACGCCGGTCGATCGAATACATTTTAACGAGTAAAGGATACAGCTTTTTACGCTATAATTTTTTTTTCGTTTTAATCATTAACCACGCACGGTATGTGTAATAAATTAATAATACCTCGATATTTTTACGTTACAGTTTTGACTGTTTAATCGACACTATTAACTCATTATACAGTAGAGTCTCGATAGTCTGGACTAATTCAGACCGAGCATTGTCCGGATTACCGAATCGTCTATATAGACTACTGAAGGGTTTTCAAGATTACTTACTTAAATGACTAAGGTTTTTTTTTTTTCTTAATTCCGTCACCTTTAAATTTATTGCACTTGTAATTATATAAATAATAAATAACTTGAACATAAAAAATTACGAAAAAAAAAAAATGTTTATGTTAATAGAACTTAAGTTTAGTAGTCAGTAATTTTTTTCTGAAGAATTCTGAGCTAATTGCAAATGTACCTATACTATGAACAAATGGACTTATTCCGTCTGGATTACTACGTTCACCGGATTATCGAGGCTCTACTGTTTGTTTAAATTTTCATAAAATAAATTCAAACATCGACGACTGAAGTATTGTATAGGTAGGTACTTGTATTATTATGTTAATTATGTTAGTAATTTTATCATTTATTACTTATTTACTATAGTTAGTTTTATTAAAAATTTAATATCAGGTAAATACAAACTCCACCCTAGAAAATAAAATGTTGCATAAACGGGCGTATAATACGTAATAACAACAAAGACAATATTAAAACCTTTTACTTGACTTATATGCATTATGGGTTTCTGAGTATTCGCAGGTGATAGAAAAAACAAGCTTACTCTTACTCTCCTCATACCTCGCAGGAACTTTGTTCTTAAAGCAAAATGAATTGATAGGTAGGACGCTGTGGCAGTTATATAGCTATATAGCTATATATATATATATAGTTGGCGCACGCCGTTCGATTGGTCGAAGGCTGGACGCCTCTCCTGGGATCCGGTCCCGCCCCCCGCCGGGATCAGCGTTTCGCCCAGGACTTGCGTGATTAGGTCGTACGAAAACGCTGCTCGCCAACGCACGTCAGTATCACCTACTGGACCACGCGCGTTTTTCGCCGTCGCTGTCGAATTTTGGTCCGTTTTTTCGTCATAAATGAAATACCTCCGTTAAAGCACATCATCTATATTATCATAATCTATACGCGTAACAGAATAACGATTAAATTTCATAATTATTGTTGCCTAACATCGATATTGTTTTGCTCGGAAAATCTATCGAAAAACACTGCGCACGGGAAACTAAGAGCAACTGATTTCATTTCTTTTGTATATTTATTTGTCACACCTATATATACTATAGTTATAAACTGAACATAGATATTTTCATTTTTGTTTTTATTTTTATTGTTTATTCGAATAAATTATGATCAACAGTCCGCGCGAACAACAGGTGCAGGACGAACAGGTAGAACATCCGAAGATACTATCGTCTGTAAGTACCCCATAAATTACGTATTTCATTTGAATAATGTCATAATAGTATTTTAATATTGTTAAATTAAAGTTGACTTTTCACAAAAATTATAGAAATATAATGACACGTTTCATATGTATAATAAATATAGTATCTAATATTAATGATTGTTTTTATTTCATTATTTTTGTCGTTCGAGGGTGAGAATTTATTACTTTTTTTGTTAAAATTCTTATGTAGGAACCTAAAAAAATATAATATTAAATACCCGTGATTTACACATTGTGCTTTATATATATATATAATAATATGTATGGCTATTAAATTATGATACACAAGTAGATACGTTTAAGTGGCTAAACTCATTATTTAGAAAAGTTATAAATTGTTTGATATATTATATTTTTACATATTTTAATGTAATTGCTAAACAACTTTGTCAAAAAAAAAAAAAAATGTTATAATTTTTACAATTCTATATGGTTATAGCTTTTTAAATTTTTTACATTTTTGAATAACGAAATATATTTTTATGTATCAAAGTAGGCACTCAAAAAGATATTCTACTAAATCAATATTATTTTTATAGTTTTAATAAAAGAGATAAGTTGAAGAGAAATGTAGTAATTTAAAGTAATATATTTAAAGTTTTTATGGTTTAAGCCATTGAGTGTTTTTATTTAATGTATAAACTTTAGTAGAGTACCTATCTACCTAATAAGCTCTTTTACTCATAAATCATATTAAATAAATAAATAATAGTGTAAAAAGTACTGAAATTATTAAAATGATTAAAATTCATAATGTTTAATGATTTAAAACTGCAGATTAACATTAGTAATAATAATTATAGTTAAATAATGCTTAAAATAGTTTATCATCTAGCGTTAATATAATTCCATATAAATATGCATATTATTGAAATATATCTATATTCGTATAAATTGTATTTAAGGTGTTTTCCATTTTTAAAACAAATAATAATTAAATTATTATATATTTATTATACATTTTAGGTGTGATGTTAAATGTCAAAATAATAAGTATGTTTCACTGTGTGCTTGTATAATATTTGTGTACGCCTCTACAAATAGTAATTTGAAGAATTTAAATCAGATATTATTTTTGAATATACGTCAATTTATTGTGGTCAATTTATCGTGACATCAATTCATTGTGCATTAATCCACCTAACCACCGCCATGTATTTAAATTCGATACTTTCCTTCCCTTTTAATATAAGCTAAAGATTGTCTAAAAATTTATTTTTGATCTAAGTATGGTAAAAATGTTGTTTCTTTTTTTAAACATTTGCTATTATTAGAACTAAATTTAAAACAATTAATCAATTATTTTTAAAATTGTAAATTGTGTGCTATATCTTATAAATATTCATTGGTCTTTATATTTTTAAAACCAAAGTAAATATTTTTCAAATTCTATACCTACTTTGTCTAAGTATTTTTTTTTCACGGATAGATATTCGCCAGCTATATATTGTTAAAGTTTTACTGTATTTATATTTTTTTTCTTCAATGCGGATATGAATTTCCAAATCCTTAGATGGCATTGATTTAAAATTGAAGTAAAATAATTTTGTCATTCTTATATTGCATTATTAATTCTAAGTAAATATTTCGAAACCAATGAATAAGAATTTAAAATTGAAATATTAAATTTAGATTCTCTTATTTTTTTGTCGTCTGTTAATACATTTTAACAAGTCTCTTCAGAATAGTTGTGTATTGGTAAAAATAATTTGTCATATTTGATCAAATATGTAGTGTGAACAAATTTATAATAAGTATTATTCACCTTATTTGCTGGTACATGAATTAAATTTGGTAACTTTTGTACTTGTAATGCAAATGTCCTTTGATATTAATACCATTATTATATTGTGAAGAAGATTACCGTCGCAAGTTTTTGTCATTTCGTAATGTAAAGTAAAATTGAAATCGGTTGGATCGTTCAGTAATTAAAGTTGTTATTTACGTACACGTTTAATAATATGGCCAGTATTGAGTCTATGAATGTTAGTTAACTGAGCCGCACATTTTGTAGGGATTTGAGATAATGCTGTAGCTATTGACTGTATCAACATTATTACTTATTAGTAGCTATTACTTTAGTAAATTTAGGATTTTTTTAACATTATATTGTCTGTTAAAATCAGAACGTGGTTATGGTCAGTATTTTTAAATATTTTTCCGTAACTTAAATGAATGCGTCGACTTCATTTGTTTTTAAAATATTGGTTACATTTGCATACTGACTTAACGTCACTTTATTTTTTATATATAAAAATATAACCACTGAATAATAGCATATATTCTCTTCTTTCTATCTTTAACATTTCAACAGCCATAATTTCACAGAAAAGGGAAAACTCACCAACACGGAAACGACGACAGGGCAATATAAATAAAGTTCGACGATTGTCGACCGACTAAGGTATAAACTGGCCTAGTTACCTTGTTATTGTTAATTTATTGTAGGTGTACTTTTATACGTAATATATTAAGTCACAAATAAGTACCAATTACGGTAGAGATTATAATCAGTGATAGTAATTTAATGTGACATTCTAGATTTTTCAGTCGTGGTTGATTAAAAATGTATAAATATGCAACGATCGATGCACGATGAATTCACGTCGCGTGATAAATTGACCACGATGAATTGACGTGCTACCATTATTTAGATACCATAAAAATAAATCTTAACAATACCTAATAACCAACGTTTTATGGCTATATATAGTATATTCGTATTGGCTTTTATGAGTACCTATATAGTATACCTATATTATTATTTGCAAATTGCAATTCGTCAATGAAATATAAATAACTATTTCATCTTATCTATGTAGAACGTAGTTACATCCTTCGAAAAACATATACATTTATTTTATGTATGGCTAGTAGGCACATTTGATGAAATAACCCATCAACCATATATTGTAAATTTATTAATATTAGGTAGTAAAATAGATAAGGTTTTTTTTTATCTCGTTAACACTATACTAGTGACGTATAAGTTTAGTATGAAGATCTATCCAATTGAACCTATGTCCTATAAATAAGCGAAAAATAGGCGTTTCAAGATCATTTTAACGCCTTAGAAAAAAGGTCTTTATAGGTATCCAGTGTATGAAATAATAATTATAGGCGAGACTCAAGCTCTTTACTTAAATTTACTTTAAAGTTTAAACTATATTAGCATGTTTGATATTGCTACGGATTTTGCATATTTTATGTTCAGAATAATCCATTATACTCTGTTATTTTTAAAACTAGAGCGAATTTAAAAATAATCTAATTTTAAGATAAGAATATTATTCCACGTAAAATATTTTTGATATTTTAATAATAATGCAAGTTATGAAAATTTTAAAATGTCAATAACTTGTTTTTCTATTAATATACATACACTACCTATATAAACGTTATAAACTTACACGAGATTAGAACTGATTATAACCTACATAGACAACAGTCTTACTTTTAATTCGTATAATAGGTTAATTTTATTAACTGAAAAGAACATAAATAGTCAAAACTAAAATGTGGTATGTATGTTAGTAAAATGGTGAAAAAATTAATATGTGGATAAAACGTCCTCTTAAAATTCGAGATGCATTTTACTATCATTGCGGTATAATCTAGATATTCATGTATATTATATTTTAAATACTAAAATAACTGCCAAGTTGTATGTATACAACTTGTATGTACGACTTGTATTGGTACCAAAAATTAGAGGTTACATGAGCTGATATAATAATACTTAATATTATTATATTGCAAAAATAATAATAATTATAGGTAAATACTTACGTAAAATATCAAGTGCAGAAATAATTTTGTTGGTTTTTCAATTATGTTTAGGTATATAGGGGTACAAAATACTTAGTTGTGTCACTATGAATGGGGTCATCATAGATACATTTTTAGGGGGAATCTGATGATATATCGCGCGTGTATTATACTCAAAATTTAATGTGCAACGATCGTATAAGTCATTTTCATTATCAACGCCTATCTTAGCACCCCTTATATATGTTTTGTCATTGCGGTTTTCTCTAAACAGTCTAAACTCATGGATTGTGTTCGTTATGAAAAAAAAAAAACCCATTACATCGTACTATATATACGAATACGAGTATGTACCATGTTTATATAGTTCCTTACTACGTTGTCACTTACTGAAGAGGGCGCAACAGTAAAAATCAGTTGCCTCTTGTCTGTGTAACACATAAAGTAATAAATTTCCAAGTCCACTGTGGTTGAACGCACAGTTTAAAATCAAAATATCATAATTCATAACCTATATTACACTATATTTAAAATAATTGAGAAAAGTTTAAACGTGATTCTTTTTCAAATAATAAAAGATACAACAAATAATAACTTTTTAAAATTTATAATTTAAAAAAAAAAAGTTTATGTGAAAATACATTAATTAAATATAATTGGCCTTCACAAGCACCTATTTTATTATTTTTAATATATCAATAGGTATATCACGTTTATAATAGTTTATTTGCAATCTACATATTATGCTATACCTATATATTTATATAAAACAAAAACTACAATCGACTTTACTGTTGTATACATTTATAAATACAAATTTGAATGAGTACGGTTACGACTGACACATATTTTGTACATACACATCACTCGAGAGAGCTAAATTCATCATGGTACAGGATATCTAATTTGACAAAAATGAAAAAACATCGATCGAGACGGTAAAAATAAAAATAAGAATTTTTAAATAATATTTCAAATGCCGTGTAAATCTGAAGGCAGCGGAAATGCACCGCGGAAACAGTTTCCTGCCTAACCACCGACCCTATATCCCGCGACGTCTGAATTATTATTAGTCACTATATTATTATTACAAGATGCGCTTGCGAGACCAAGGGAACCGATGCAAAGACGAGGAGGAAGGACAGTTAGGAAAAATAAATGACTTTTCAAAAGCCAAATCGTATAGTGCAAACCGAATTAAAAGATGTCGCCATCACCGTAGTCGGAAGATTTAACTCCAAAGACATACAGCAACCATACGACTACACATACCCGTAACACTCGCTGCTAATGCGATTTCGCCACAGCGCGGTTTCTCAGTCATTTGCGTTCATTTCCGGACGGCGCGCTGTAGTGTTTCCGGTAGTCATGGTCTGCGTTGAGCGTTTTCGAATCACATTTAATCATAATTTTTGCAATAAAATGTAAATTAACAATTATGTATTGCTTTATCGTAGAAATTACAAGTTACAATAATCAGTTATAATTACAGTTGGAAAAATGACACTGTAGTTGGTTTAGCACAGAATGTATTCTCGTTTAAATTTTGATAAAAAATAAAACAAGAACCCAACTATGTTATATTTTGTGTGTCGAAGTTCATTTCTTAAAATATTAACTTCCATAGTTTATTATACATAGTATTATCTAGTATATACTTTATAACTAGACTTCTTATAATATTAGAAGCTCGACATTTTGTACAAATATTTTTGAGTTTTTAATTACCCTAACGTAGTCAGATTTTGTTAAATCATATAATAATGTATAAGCATGTATATACCTACTATGCTTGTCATACGATGTTTGGTATATTAATATTATATAGTTTCATGAAAATGAACTAATTTAATGATGTGCAACCGTGTGGGCAGGGCTTATATTATATCCTGAACCACTTTAAAATTTAAATTCTATTAAATAATAAATATTTTGTATGGGTATGAAGTCTATATATATAATAAATTGGACAAATTGGTACAAATTAAACTATATATAGACAATTTTTTTTTCAGTTTAATCACCGAAACCCATCGTACACGGGATCTATCGAAAACGGTGAAATAGAAATCGATAAGAGAAACGAAGTTTATGATGTGCCTCAACAAACTGGTAAGGTGGTGATAACACCATATATATATATATATATTTATATATCATACTATTTAATACCTTTTAAATTGAAATATTTTCGATTAATACATTTAAAATATATATGTATATTACACAGAAAACGTATACGTGCATTTGTCAAGTAAACCTATTAGTCAAATGCTAGAAAACTGGAATCAAGAAGGTAAGAATATGGATATCACAAATATTTTATATACCTATACTTATTAGTTATCAATATTTATAAACACGCATAACACAATAAAATTAACGACAATTGCATCAGTGTTTTAATCTATCTTAAATTTCTTAAAATATTATATATAACTAATATGTGAAATTACAATGTGTAATTAACAAGTGAATATAAAAACTAAACCTAAGAATATATATATATCTTATTCTTTCACGTTTCAATTAGTAATAAAAGAATAGGGTTCCTTCAATGTTATGTATCATTGGTGGCTTATATACCTATTAGCTATTATTATGTTGACACTATATTCTTTTAGAAAAGTCTATTAGTGCATATTATTTACGTGGAAAATAAGCATGTATATTATTTATGATTCGACAGACTAACTGTTATACGTGTTTAATCGGATTTGTTTACCTAACATATAGGTAAGAGTTATAAGACTTTATAAATATTTTGTACTTCAAATCGACAAACACGATATTATATAATTATTTTAAGATCGTTTTAAAACTAATTGAAACTGAGAAAATATCATTTTTGCAAGATTTAATTTTTGTTTTAAAATTATTTTTTTAATTGTTTTGTCTTACACTCATTTTTAAAATATTGGGTAAGTGTATTAATATTTTTTAATGTTTATAATTTAATATTTGTTTTTACATTATTTATTGATGTTTGGTTGATTTCTTTTACAAGAAAACATTTCTAAGTTTTTATAACTATAGAACGGAAGAAAGTGTAAATATTGTATTAAAAGTATGAATCTTCAATCTGTTCCTACTTAACGTGCATACAATATTGCAATATCACAACTACTAAAAATACTTTGGTTTAATCTGTCTCATTTTGCAAAAGTAACAAAACTCATCACATAATACAATGAGTGGAATGTATCTATACGTGTATGTTTACTTTGTTTGCACAGAAAAATTCTGATTTTGACTCTGTCTGATGACTTCAAGGGACAAATAATATAGGTATATACAAGTATAATACATTACGTGACACATTGTTATGACGTAGTATTTATATATTAAACGCACTATATATGTCTATGTATAATACACAGGCATACGTCGTCGTTTGGCGACGACCGCGGCGCAGATTTTCTTTGAAATATGTAAGGGACGACTTCGACGACGACACTGCGGTGTCTCGCTGAGAATCTACTAAGTGAAACGGTCTAGCGGGGGGTATTATGTTTTAAATTTTATTCTGTATTTTTTATTATTGTACTTTCGAATTTCGATTAAACGGCACTTTGATCACATCACATGCAAGCATGACATGTATGTCGATACATAATAATATCTTACAAGAAAACGGAAATAATATAATGCATCTCAAAATATACCTATATATGTATAATATTATATATAAGGTATATAGTATAATGTATAATACGTATGAAGGTAAATCACGGTTATCTGCTATTAAATAGCCATTCTAGCTAGTCCACTGTACTGTGTTGTACACAAAATGGAAATACTTAATATTTTTTTTTTGAATTTGGATGTTTTTTATTATTAACTTAATTGGAGTCAATTCCGATCAAAAAACTATTCTTTCTCAATAAACATGAGCAAACAACTTTTTAAAAGATTTTATGATAAAACACTTCTTAAATATAATGAATATTTTGTCAAATCGGAATAATATTTATACTTGCATTTATTATTCATAATTAGACAGAGGACATGTTGATCTAAAGGATTACTAAAGATGAATTTTAAAATAAATATTTTTAAATTAAAAAAAAAATATTTGTATTTTGGTGTTATAATAATGAATTTATTTTATGTAATTACAACTTACAACTTTATAACGATTGAGTTTCTACTGTCGATCATATTTTGTGCAGAAAATAAATAAAATTAATAAACTGGATTTTAATTTAATTAAAAATTATTAATCGCTTCAAGGAAATTTTGCTAAAAATTCAAAAAATTGCATCTGATCAACAAGTATTATAATAAAAATAAAAATTAAATTTATATCCAATAATTTTGGTTGTATATTAAAATATTAAATGATAGAAGTGGTTAGGTTAGCATGTGACCTACCCAATTCGCTGTATGGAGAATACACATACGAGTATACGTCTTCATAATATGTGTTCCATCACGCATTGATCGTAAAAATAAAAATATCATTGGAAAAAATATCGATAGAATTATTAATTGATTAAAATATGTATCGAAAATTATAAAATATAAGAAATATGCCCCGCCCCTTAAAAACAATAAAAACCTCAAAATATGCATTTATGTATATAAAAAATAAAATTATAAAACTAGATTTGTCTTTGCATTAAACTTTTTTATTTCTTACTCAGCTATATATAGTTTATGGAAATATTATCAAGATTTAAGATAATATTTTAGAATTTAAATCACAAATAGTATCAAAACAATTAAACAAGAATTAACAAAAAACGACACGACAAACTGTTACTTGATATGCCACGCGCACAATGAAATCAGTCATTAATCGCAAATTAATGCAATATTAGTCAATGGATAACAAAAATAATGCATGTGTTTAAAAATATTTTAAATACACAACCGTTTTTGAAAAACTTTTGTTTTGTATCGAGACTTGACCTTGTTCGTGGTCAGTTGAATATTTCGGTAAAAATGTTAAATATTATTTTATCATACTGTATTATAAGGATTTACATTAAACTAAGTATGTTAAGAATTCGCAAAAAAATTCTACTCGTCATGGTATAATCATATTGTTAAAAATAACAATAATAATACCTAATTTCTAATTTTAAATACATCTATATTTGGTAAATTTATTTTAATGTACAAAAAACATTAAATAAATGTGTAGGTCTACAAATGATTCACCATAAACAATGGTCTACAGGAAATATCTTTATCCCTATGAGCCCATCTACCTCTGTACAAGTATTTCAGTAAGTTAAATTTATAATTTAGAATCCAAGAAGCAATAATTTAAATCATTTTTATAAAGTTTCATAATACTTGTTGTTTTTTAATAAAAAATTGAATTTTAAAATATCTATATAATATGGAGTAATATTATAATATTGAAATTGATATCTACGAGATTAAAATATAAAAATATAATCGTTTTTCATTTCACTCATAACGGAGAATACGGAGAAAATGTATTATAGTCTGCTGAAGTAAATCATAACCACGTGAAAGTACATGGAAATATCATCTTTAGTATGGATAATTCTGGTTTGATAAAACGTATAAAGTGTATAATGTATATACACGAACACAGTTGTTTAGTGTATATAGTGTATAACTATAGACAGTAAATGGTACTTAGTAGTATTAGTATATAGTTATAGTTGTTGTAGTATATCTGTTGGGGTTAACGAAGGGGTATATATGACGGCTACGTATACGATCTTCCCTATTGAAAAATCAACCGAATTATACATAAACAAACACCCTCTGTAAATCACGAGGTCAGATTTATGGGTTGGAAAACTTATATACATTAAACATTATGTATACATAATGATATGCGGGCAGCTGCTAAACAGAGAGAGTTTTCAAATATTGAAATCTCGGTGTAAAAACATACAGAGTGATAGTTATAAATCTTTTTACACTAAACATTCATCATTTCAAAATAATATATTAACGTTGTTTATAATATTTTTTCAACATAATTTGGATTAATTACAACGCTATATTTTTGAAAAAAAAAGTATAATAGCTATACATTTTTAAATGAAAACATTTATTTTTAATTTTACATTCCAAACCAAATTATTCTTTCTAAGAATTGCGATGCATAAAAATTAAATTTAAAATTTTTAGTAAATTCACTATAAGTATTTGCATTTTAGATTAGCACTGAAATATTATAATATAAATAGGTAATTTGACAAGCATTTTATGGGGTAACCCCATAATTGTGGGGCGACAATGCAAAACGTACTATTTGCGTTTTACATATTTTTCAGGAAAGGTCATTTTCTGCTGTGCATTAAATATTTGAGATATACATGTTGTGAAAATGTTTAAAAATAGATAAAAAACTATGAAATAAATTTCTGCAGGTAAAAGTATTTTAAAATGTATTTTTTGTACTTAAATATAACTTTTTAAATTTTGAATTGGATCAAAACGTACTATTTACAACAAATGGTACGTTTTGCTTTGATTAACAAAAATAGTACGTTTTGACCAATATTTTTACAAAACGTTCTATTTGCATAAATTACATTTTACAATAAATATAATTTAATATAATTATATGTTAAGAAATTAAAATACTTTGACTCAACTAAGTGTAATAATATTACACTTACTAGTTACTTGTACTTATTCAATTAAGTTTATTTAAATTAAGAAAATATATAACATATAGGGAACCGATGGTAGCATCCATATAGGTGAAAGGAATACAAGTTAGGTATAATATATTTTAATAAAACACTTTTTTAATAACTTTTAATTAATAAAAACTAAAACAAGGTAAATAAAAGATTAAAGAACACTTAAAAAAGTAAAAAAAAAGAATAATATAATATCAAGTTTTAAATATTTAAAATGTTAAAATTTAAAAAAATAACAAAGTGAATACAATTTTGAGGAACGCTTTCAGTCTTGAAAAATTAAAATATAGTTAACATATTTTATAACAATTAATTAATATAAAATTATAATCAAACACTTAGTTGAATAAAGCTGCTAGCCTACTAGATAAATATAAAATTATAGGTCAAGTAAATTATTAAGAATCAAAAACTATAATACAATAACTTAATCATTATCTTTCATTGATTAGACCTTATCACTAAGTTTTGGCGCGCATAATAATTAATGTTTCAAAGTTATAAACGATTTTTTTTTTTTATGATTTAGGTTAGCACGTAGATAATATGTTAAACAAAATACGTATATCATATATTAAATCTATATAATTTAATAAAATGTAACAATAAAAACAAATTTTAAAACACAGTCGTTTTTGTAAATAGTACGTTTTGCATCAATACATTTTTAGTCCTATACCGTGTACATTGGAAATAGTACATTTTGCATTATGAATGGAAATAGTACGTTTTGGAAAAATTGATGTAATTAGCACGTTTTGACAAATTTTTTTTTACTTTTTATTACGGAATCTATAGCAAATAGTACGTTCTGCATCAAACAGTAAATAGTTCGTTTTGACAAAATGTATATTGTGCAAATAGTACGTTTTGCTTCAATTTACTATTTTAAAAACGGTTATTGAATGGGAAATAGTACGTTTTTACCTAATCTGATGATGCCAATCGATCCGCCGCCATTTCAAACATATAATTCAATGTATAACTCCATTTTGACAAAAATGCAAATAGTACGTTTTGCATTGTCGCCCCACAATTGTGCTACTCCGCTTCTTTCGAATAAAATTAAAATGTTATTATATCTCATTAACTAGGTACCTAGTTATTTGAAATTCATTTTATGATACCTAACAATAAACAATATAATTGTTGAATTAATACTTATATACAAAATAAAACTACAATTAGTATATAATAGTATTTCAAAAATTTATTGGATAAAGATTAAATATACTTTCCAAATTTATAGCGTAAAAAAGTTCATGATATATCATATATAAGTTTATTTAGAATAAAAGTCTTGCAACTTTTGAAAATAGTCCAACAAATTAATTTAAATACATATTATGTCATGTGTCAATATATAATCATGATATCTACAAAAGTTATTGCCTGTTGGAATTAAAACTTAAAAAATTCTGAAAAATTGTTAGAATTTATTTTATTTTTTTCATCAATGGTGTGTATAAAAGTTTGATGAACTATTTAAAAAGTTTTTGAACTTTAGAAATCAATATTTTGAAAATCCAACTTTTCAGTACGTAATTTATGTTATATAATAAGATAAAATATTAAATATGTGATTTAAAATCTTTTTTAAGTTTCTGATATAATTTGTTTATAAAAAATATATATAAATAAGTTTTGTTTTTTAGATCATTTACAAAACTGCTTATACTTTTATTTTATATATAAGTATTTATGTTTAATGAACTTTTGAACTTAAAACTATACAATTTCAGAAACTTAATTCAATATTTTTTCAATAATGCCTTACAATGCAATATATTATTTAACATTAGTTTCATTTTTTGTGTTTATTTTAATATTTAGTAATGGTTTAAAGTTAATACTTCACACTTAAAAATAAATAAGACTAGCTTGATATAGATTAATCACTAATAATCAAAAAATGTAGTTATTCGCATTTCACATAGGTATACGTAAATAATAAAGGAGAATCCAACATTTTATGACTTAAATCGATATTATAATGTCGATTTTGGTCATAGATATTAACCTAATACTTAACCTGGTATTCGGTAATAAATTGTTATAGTTGTTTTATAAGAAGAAAAAAAAATATTCTTACAATCGTGTTTAAATACACATTTTAAAACTTTAAAAATGTTTAGATTATATTTACTATTTAATAAATAATTTATACCTATAGATAGTAATAGTACAGTTAATATGGTATTAAACGCCTATAATATACATGATATAAAGCATACATAATTAATTTATACTAAAATAAAATTAGGGCACAATATTTTAGTGTTGTCTTACTATCAATAAAGAAATCAAAATATTTCGAATTATTACAGTAATTTAACATGCAATACATAGGACTGCTTAAAAATATGTTTCACTTATGCCTCTGTGAATATAATTGCAAATAACTATTTGCAACACATTTAGTAAGATCATTTGAAATATATTTGAGCTGTCTAAAAGTTCATTCAAAACTATATGTATAAAATATATTTTTATAAGATTACGTTTAGATCTCGATTAAATCATGTTAAACTATTGTCACTCTACTTTTGAAATAGGTTGGCTATAAGATTTTATTTATAAATTATTAACAAAAATTATACGTAATTTATTTAAATATTTGTTTTTTAGATCGCGCGGCGGTAGTGTACCAACAAAATTCTATGAAAACTGAATTGAGATCTCCTGCAGATTGTTGCGGTAGGTCTACGCGGTATTTCACAGATCATTACTACCCACATTCTCCAACCAACTTCAGGTAATTTATAAAAATATGATGTATATTTCAAGATATAAATTTTTCATAGGGTTGATTAAAAAGGTAAAGAAAATAATAATTATTATTTATTTACGAAAGTTTAATTATAATTATCAATCGATTTATAGAGTTTTTTATTTAAAAAAAATTGCATGATAAATCACAATAGGTCGATGTTGAACTAAAAAGACGATTAAAAGAGAAACGATTTGTGATTGGTAACTATAATATATTTATATTATGTATACATTTTATTTTATAAGTTTCAATATTATATAATGATTATAATGCGCATAACGTAAAACTACGAAGAAACAAATTAAGAAACAAATTATTATATTCGCGGAACGGTTCTTAATAATTGTCGGTCGAGGAATAACTAATTTTTATGTCATCAATATAAACAATATTATACATTTTCATGGTGCAGTATATATATTGTTCAAAATAATTAAGCCCATAAATAGGGTGCCCCTCCTATCACCGTACGTGTATTTCAATTTTTAATACAAAGGGTTAAACGGTCTCTCGTTGTAAGCTACTTGAAGGACCCTTTCCATTCCCTTAAATTATTAACCTGATAATTATTTACGGGCTTCTCGTTTGTTGGCTTTTCATTCAAAAGATTATTTAAAACCTACACCGTCCCGCGAACCTCTCAGAAGAGTGCAGTAATCCTCTTTCTGTAGTTTCTACTATGGTGTATAATATATACCGCACATACGAAGGGATTGGTGGACCGCACGGACGGTGTGTATATATAGACACTATAAAATAAACACGCCACCGCATTATTATATTATAGGTACAACAATAACATTTATGCGTTTTATTAAAATCTATCGTTAAGTTTGTAAACGTCTCAAACATTAAACTTCTACTACCGCATAGGTTTGGTTGTTGTTCATAAGACATTCATAGTTTTAATGTTTACATTTTATATTTATATCAACATTTTTATAAAAGTATTCAACAAAAAATGATGTAACAAAATGTATAGATTGTCGTTTAAAAATTAAAAATATATTTTTGTAATTTTACCAAAAAACATAATGGTAGAAAATTATGGATATAAAAAATATTACGATTGCATGTATGTTACTTAAATTTCCCAAGGAGAATAGTTTCAAAAAATTGACTAATTTTCGAAATCATGAGTGTATTTACATTATATATATATTATATCATATACAACATTTTTTTTTTTTTTTTTTTTTTATTAAAGAATATACAATCTATACCCAAAGGCATAATAAGAATATGTGCTACATTATATTTAAAAACATGAATAGGGTGAGGGAAGAAACCATCCAGTGATCGCAATTCCTTAATCATATACAATATAAATATTACATATATTATATTTTATAAAGTTTGATTTGGATGTTTTCTAGAAGTCTGGCCACTAGAAACCTATACTATGATTATTACGATTCACCTGCAGTAATGACGCACAAGAAAGACCCAGACGCCAAGTTCTATTACGGGCAAGACGCCAACGAAAACGCCACTAGATACTCGACACAAGGCAAGTAAACGATAAAAACCAATATTGAACATTACATTATATTTACAGTAATGACATATTCCAATAATATTTAAGTATGATTCACTGTATGTTGATATATATTTTATATATGAGTCTGTTTTACGAGAATAATAAGTGAAACTGTTAAAAATATATAGGTACTTAATAGAAAATTAATACAAATAAGATATAGAAATAACAAAAAGAAGAAGCTTCTATCAGCAGTAAAAAGATATCAATTCTTTCGTGATTATTAATTTTATTAATTACTAACTATGTAAATTATAATTTTAATTTACTTATTTTACCACGCAAAAAAAATCCAGTGGCTACTAAACAATACATAAGTATTAAAACACGATATTCATTAAACATTTTTACCATAAATAATATTTATGAGATCTTACCAAGCTAGTAGCTACCATCTGGTTTTCTATTAAAAATATTTGAAAAGACAATGCGTTTCGTTTTTTAGTTTTGATTTTCTTTTACATTTTTATTTTCAATAATAACAATATATATATAATGTATGTATACATTATAAATTTATTAGAAACGCGAAAAGGCTAATAAAAATGCTCGTCACGGATTGTCATATCGATACGCGTGTTATTGTTACACAATAACGAAAATCTAAAAACTAATTGAATATAAATAAGACACCCGAGGGTGTTACTGACGTAGTGGGAGTTAGAATATGATACATAGACGATGGCTTTGGTGGTCGTGTCATCAGATGTAAATTCCGAAGAAAAAAAAACATTCTGGACACGTATCTTGAGCACGCCACTATAATATAATATATACATTATACATATATTATTATATACTCTGACGACTTCTACCGATATTCAATGAAAACAAGCGTTTCAATTTTCATCTATAATAATTTTTTCCCTCACTTTCACGCTTCTTCGAGAAAAAACAAAATTAAATTAAAAAAAAATATTGGGTTGTCAATATAAAATGTTTAAGTCTTTCTGTATAGATATCGATCAACGAGCGTTGCCTTTAACACAGGGCCACCGATAATAAAGCCTATATTATTTTATTTGTAAGTACTAGGTATATAATACTCAGGAATAATTACAATTATTTATAGCTGTCATGCATTTGACGAAACAAAAACTAAACAAAATTATATAATTATAATAATATATTAATATAGATATTATAATACGTAAATTGTACACTATCGTAAATTATAATTGTTAAATTATAAGATATCGATTGAATTATATACATATTAAGTGTATGAATTTGTTTGTACTTTTAGTATATAGTAAGGATTGAATAAAAAGAAAGTCTGAATAAAATGTGTTATATTTATGTCATCATTAGCACTTATTATGTCATAGATTTTCTTAAAATTTTGTATTGCTGAGCTGGTTGAATTTACAGTCGTTCATCAATTTCATGATGAATTTTCATTTATCTGTTGAGTATCGAAAGTGAACTCGACATAGTCAAATACTTAAATATTAAGGTAATATTTTATCGTATCATATTTTAGCACCTATTTTATAGAAGGTATTTATGAGTTATGTTAATCCTATACAAATCAAACGTTAACACATAATATGAGATTACTTACTCCTATACACTATTATTATACTTGCTTATATATTTTATAAGTTTGTTTAACTATATTATACTCTTGATTACGGTTTTAGTGTTACAATAATATTTGTTCATATTTATAATCGATTTTATAATCACCAAAACGTAACTCTATTAACCTTTTAATAATTTTTTCAACGTTATATCTTATTACTTATTAGTTTGGTGTTAGATCGTATAATAGGTATAGTGTATAACTGCTGTACTCAAAATTCACACGTTGTATGTAATGTGACTAAATATATAACATATTATACAAAAAAAAAAGAATAAAGTATACGCAACTTTAGTATAATTTAGGTATGTTCACGCTTAATCAATAATTGCACAGTCAAAACTTTTACCATTATATCACAACATTTAAAAATAGTTTATCTTTTAACAATTATAAAAACGGTATATTACATATTTACATGGTCTATACCATTGTATACATCGCGAGAGATGTTCAATTAAAAAGTATTATTTACACAAGTGACATTTTTTTCTTAAATTTTGATTTTTATGATTATATTTAAAATGTCAGTATCTAAATTTTCGAAAAATCGATTCAATTAAAAATTTAAAAGCTAAGAAACCTAAATAATACTTAATTTAAAAAAAAACATATTTAATTTTTATCCTCGTGTTATAGAATTCAGGAAAAAATTACTGCATAATATATTATACTATATGTATAGTGCCATACTTTAATATAACGCCCACAGGATATAATATATAATAAAGTCGCGAGTAAATGTTGTATATTTTATTATTTTATTTATGTGTAAGAGGGGATTTCTCGCCAGACGTCATGAGATTTGAAAAATTTGATTTAACTCGAAACATACAATCACACATGACTCGTGTTAAGCAAAACGTGGTCAATCGCATAATAATATAATATATTAATGATAAATAAACGGCAATGGCGGCGACGTTAATAACCTACCCCGTCAAGACAAGTGCACATCGAAGTGATTTATGCGTGTAGACACATTTTGGGGGCTTTGAGGCTAGTTAGGAGCGCGTCTAATGACTATATATTGTTATGTATATTTAAGTATATCACGTTATGTACAATATACCGCAGCGGTAGCGCATCTAATCGTTTTTCACATGTTCAAAACTCTCAACAGTCGGATTAATGTATATATATAAATTTAATATAGACTATAGCCTGCTGGACATCTCGATAGTCACGGACCGTGTATAAAATTTACTATAAACATATATATTATTCTTTATTATAAGTTATATATTTTATATTATTATATGTATTCTATACAAAATACATAGTTATTATTATTATTATTAAGTTAAAAGTTAAAATTGATCAAGTACGCAAACAAAGTGTTAAAAATTTAAAAAGAATATAGCCATCGGGCTATATTTCTTTAACGAAAACATTTTAATTAAAGTTAAAACATTTGATTGAAAAGTACTTCTATAATTAGAGGAAAAATTGTATCAGAGCCATTATTGATAATAAACGCCCTAATTTTCTATAATTGCATTTATGATGTACCTATTTCTTCAACATCAGTTGTTTCGTTAACAAACATCTATATTTTTACCCTGTTATTTGTATATTTATTTCAAACATTCATTCGTTGTAGAAATGACATTGGCACATTGGTTTTACAAATGTATGTATAACGAATAATATTCAGTTATTAACAATTGTATTGGTACAATGTAAAAAATATAAAATATCGAAAAACCAAATCGAAATTTTGAAAATATATAAATCAAATATCAAATATGAAATAGCATATAGATCTTGAAAGGTACACATATATTATGCGAATTATTAGGTGTGTAAAAACAACTATATATTATGTACAGTTATATTATTGTACTCGTAATATAATAATATTATACAGCTCTTTCTACTGACGACAAATACATTAGTGTACTTCGTTCGTTACGTATTGCTATTAAATGAAAAATAGTGAGCATGTTTGAGTGAATGACTCTATACCATCTTTTAACTTCATATATACATTAATGCCACTAATAGAACAAGCTTTCTTTTCACTAAATTAATGCTTTTGAATCATGCCACAATTATAAATTCTCTCTATGGAAAAAATCATCAGTTCTTTTATCAGTCTGTGATTTTTAATAATTAAGATAAAAATATTTTACATACATAAGTAATTTATTATTGCTATTGACATTAGAAGGTTATTTTAAATTAAACAACTTCTGGCTCGTTTATGTGTTATTGTAATATGTTTCCATACAAACGATAAACGATTCAATTTGAATTTAATACTAGTCCCGTTGAAAATGAGTTCCGCATATTATAGCAGAATCACAACTATATATACAGATGCATTTCTAATTAAGTATAAAAGTAGCGAAATGAAAATAACGGGAATAGGACATACATAAACGGATCAGATTTTGTCTATAATTAATATATCATATTATATAGTATAGAAAAATAGTAGAAATAATGATTTAACAAAATGTTTTATTCATATGAAGATTTACCAACATAATTTTGTAATTGAAATTATAAATTATATTAATTATTTGACATTTTATTTAGTTGCATCTATTCTATAGGTTACTTAGAAACTGTTTAATTCAGAAAACCAGCTTTGTCTAAGGATTATGTATTGTAAAATTAAGTAGATGTAATGATGGTGTGTTATCATTACTATATTAAATAATAATGGTGATAGTTTATATTGATTATTTAAAGTTAAAATTTTGTTTTACAGTTATGTTTATAAAAATGAAAATCTTTCTATATCTACGCTTTATTATATAAATATGTGAATAAAGCAAACTATCTGAAAACGATTAAGTTGTGTTTCATAAATCTAATCTAGAAAACAACAATTGTTGAGATCATTAATATGTGATTAATCGAAAAATCAATGATACGAAAAATAATAATAAAATAAATACAGTACTATAATATACTACTAATTATTTTATTTGTTTCAATATGGTATTACATACTTATTAATAATATGATATCATGAAATCGATCATAATTTCTACCGTCTGATTTCAGCAGGTGGTTCGCCGTTACGTTGTTTTTGACATCCGAGTTATTCCTTGCCATACTCAACGACTATGCACATACACAAGCTCCTCTCCCCATTATCTGCACCGCCTCCGCCTTTGCACACACGATAACATTATGAGTATCTCAGGACGTAATCATAATGTTTCTGATAGATACAATATCAGATATAAATCAAATTGTACAAGATAAAACTAAGAAAATCTTACAATCAATCAAAACTATCTCTTGTGCGTTGCTTCGTGATGCTTACAGATATAAACAATGTCCAAAATCATCATTGACGAGACCAATTTTTAAATCTTCTGAAATACGTCTAGACAGATTCTGTCCAATTCGAAAATGTCAAATCATA